GTGGGAGGGTCTGCTAGGGAGGCTGTACTGCTAATTGGCTGGAATGTGTCTGCTGACTGTGAGGTACAGGGTCAAAGTTTACTCAATGATGACGAATAGGGGGCGGGTCGAACCGCGCATATGTTCGCACGCCGTGGCGAACGCGAACATGCTATGTTCGCCAGGAACCGTTCACCGGCGAACCGTTCGGTACATCACTATTGATGACACATAAATTAAAACAGACTATGTTAAAAGAATAGCATGAAAATATAAAAATATTAAAATTATTAAAATATTAAGACAGCATCTACTTGGCACAAGTCTTATAAGGTACATTATTCAGTAACCCAAAAATGACTGTACTAAGCCTTTATGCTGCTTATTCCAATGTAACAACTTATAGCCTAGAGGGTATTAAATATATTGTATCAAACAATGTCCAAATTCCCAACTAATGTAACAAATAATGACTCTAATGAAAAGGTAAAAATATACATTCTAATGTGGCATGGGGAAATATATAATGAAAATAAATTTGATATTTGTTATCTGTAAAAATACAATTTCTATGTGGTGTACTAATAGTATCTTTAGTATACCACAGTACAGACTAATTTTATTTGTACATACAGCTAAAAATCCATATATAAAATCTAGCAGCTCTAACTCTATAAAATGTTGGCTAACTCTAATTCTGCATTCAGACCTAGAGGGATGAGTGTTTTCAGGCTATATATCCAGAACATCTCCCTATACGTTAGGGCTTTGCTCAGTTCCCCTCCTCTCCACGGTACTTGTACTTTTTGAATCCCACAATATTTTAAGAGTGTCAGATCACTGTTGTGGTGTATTTTAAAATGACTGGATAGGGAATGTTTTTCAAAGCCTCTTTTGATATTATATACGTGCTCCCTGAGTCTGACTTTTAATGTCCTCTTGGTTTGACCCACATATTGGAGGCTACACGGGCACTCCAACATGTAGATAACTTGCTTTGTATTGCACGTGATACAGTCTTTAATATCAAATGTTTCCTTTGTAACTGAAGACTGAAAAGTTGTGCAGTTTTTTCCTTTAGAGCTTAATTTACATATATTGCAGTTTCCACACTTATAGTATCCCTTCTTTCCAGTTAAAAAGTGGTTGCCCTTCATTGGTTTAATATAACTATGCACCAATTTGTCTCGTAGAGTAGGTGCTCCCCTAAATATCACCTTTGGTTGTGTGGGTAAGAGTGAAGCCAATATCGGGTCTTGACGCAATAAATGCCAGTGTTTCTGTACACTCCTCTTTAGACCATTTGCTTGCGCACTATAGTTAAAAACCAAAGGACATATGTCTCCAATGCCCTTATTAGGTTTAATTTTGTTCAAAAGTGTTGTGCGTTCTGCAGTTTTTACTCTTTGGAGAGCTGTATCTAGTAGTTCTTCATCGTAGCTTTTTTCTGTGAACTGCTGTTTTACCTTCTGGAGTTGTACATCACATATCTCAGGGTCTGTGCAATTCTTTTTAACTCTTAGGAATTGACTAAACGGGACACCTGATAGCCACGAAGGATAATGGCAACTGGAAGTCCATATGTAGCTATTTACATCCACACTTTTAAAAAAGGTTTTAGATTTTAAGATTTTTTGGTCCGTATATAGGACCAAATCTAAAAAATCTATGTTGGTAGAGCTATATTTGTACGTGAAGGATAGATTATATTCATTCTGGTTTATGTAAGCTAAAAACTCCAAGAGGTCTATTTCTTTTCCTCTCCACACAAAAAAACAGTCATCAATGTACCGTCTATAGAAGACCAGGTTCGCCCCCCACTTGTGGCCTTGCCAAATAGACAGATTTTCCCAATAAGCCATAAAAATATTGGCATAACTGGGAGCGAACCTGGTCCCCATAGCGGTACCATTAGTTTGTAGATATATGTCGTCCTCATACCAGAAGAAATTGTTCCTGAGTATAAAATCTATACATTCTATCATGAATTCCACCTGTTCTACTAACATGGTGGAATCCTCATATAAGATTTGTCTTACTGCCTTTATTCCCAAATCGTGTTTGATAACAGTATATAGTGACGTGACATCACAAGTTACCATCAGATAGTCTTCCTCCCATTTGAGACCTTCTATATTTTTTAATAGGTCTCCACTGTCCTTTAAATAGGACTTGGCTTTTTTTACAAAAGGTTGTAATATTACATCTATATATTGAGATAGATTGCATGTTAGAGACCCTATTCCAGAAATGATGGGCCTACCCGGGGGGTTCGTGAGACTCTTATGTATTTTAGGTAATTGATAAAATACTGGTTTCTTAGGATATATCTCCATAACAAACTCTAGTTCTTTCTTATTCAATATATTTAGAAATCTACCTTTCTGTAGTATGGTAAATAAGCGTTTTTGGTGTCCGATGTGGGATCTGTCTTTATTCGCTCGTAGGTGAGTTGATCATTGAGGATTCTTTTACATTCTATATCGTAATCCTTTGAGTTAAGGACCACAATTCCCCCTCCCTTATCGGACAGTTTTATTGTGATGTCCCTATTTTCACTTAATTCTTTTAATGCTTTCTTTTCCCATACATTCAAATTTTGTTTGTGTTTAGCCACTTTTTTCGGTAGCTTATCTATATCAGCCGTTACTGCTAAATTAAAAGCGGACATGGGGCCGCTCATCTGGTTGGTGGGACAGAAAGTGGATTTATTTCTTAAAGTTGTATGGTGAAAAGTAGTATGTTCTATTTTGGGTATCATAGAACTCGAATTACTCAAAAAGAATTTCTTTAGAGTCAAATTTCTCATGTACTTTTGCACATCTAGATATGCTGTAAATGGGTCTGCTTTAACTGTGGGGGCATATTTTAAACCTCTATTTAACACCTTGATTTGATGTTTAGTAAGTATGGCGCTAGATAGATTGAAAATTCCTATTTGTTCTACCTTTTCATTTTCTTTTCTCTTGTGATATCTCTTGCCCCCCCTACATCCTCTAAAAAAGGTCTCTTTCTTATGTTGATTTGTGGGGGCTCTCGATAGTTCTGATCGAAATATTGACTTCTTGGTCCTAAAAAATGATCATTTGATTGTGTATAATTTTCTTTTGCCCCTACTCGGTCAGTCTCTTCTGTATGGAGTAAGTCAAACTTGTTATATGAACGCCAATTTTTTGCTTGATTGCTTGCCCTAGGTGTTTCTGAGTCATATTTCCCTTGGGGTCTGTAAGGATTTTTTCTGTACAAATTATTTCTTTTCTTGTGAATGACCGTAGTCTACTCACTACTATTCACTCTCTGAGGTGTATATTGTTTTGGTTGTAATTCTCCTCGCCTGATATAATTATGCTCTAAAGAATTTTCAGGAGCATATGTAATTTTGTGGTTTCTTAAATTTCTAGGGGCATTGTACTTTTTGCCCCTAGGACTAGATTTATAAGATCTCTCATTTTGATTTCTCTTATAACTTCTGACTTTATTCTCTCTAAAGTCCTCCTGGTCTCTATCAAATTTACGTTTCTTTGTGGACACAGTCTCCTCGAATAACGAACTTAATTTTTTCTCTATTTTTTCCATAAGTAGTATACATTCTGGCAGTGCCAGGTGAGGAGAAAGAATTTCTTTTATTTCATTGATTTCCTCATCCAGCACTGCCAACATTCGTTTCCGTTTACATATGATATGGTTCATAAGTTCAAAGGAGCAGTGGTCTAAGATTCTATCCCAAACAGTATTAAAATCCTCATCATCTTTATCTGTGGCTGATTTTAACATGATACGTAAACCTCTCGGGATAATACGTTTCTCCCAATATTTCTCCAACGACGCTATTTCTAATTTAAGTTTCATTTCTTTGACTATTAATTTTTCAAGAGAAAATACTTGTTTTCTCCAATGTGTATCTTTAACACAAACATGCTCATTGTCATCATTTTTTAAAACAAGATCAATCTTACACTGTTCTCTAAACGTGAAGTTGTGATTGCTGCTACTTTTATGTGGGAAAAAGCCAATACAATAAATAAAATAATTAAGAGAGCGCATACAAAATCAAAGCTAGAAGTAATAATAAATGGTACTTGAAGTACCCTGTGAATAACAGCTGCTAGACAAAAAAAAGAATTTCCCAATTCCTATAACAGAGTACTAAAAATATTGTCAGCGCTTAGTGAATACTCCCCTTAAGATAATAACAAGGGTGCAAATATGTTAAAATAGTATTGCAATATACATCTAGACTCCACATATAAAAACTATAAAGAGAAGAAAAGATGCAGATGAAAATAAGTATATAAATATAAAAATATATAAGAGTAGAGAAAAATGTCTCTAGAAAGTCCAAAAAATCTTGTAAGATCAAAACAGAGAGGGGGCAAAATCCAATGTCTGAATAGATGAATGGAGACTCAAATAGATGCTTGAAAATTCCTAGGCAAAACGGAGAAAACAAATATAGTGTAACTCTGTAACATTTATTTTAGGTTTAACAAACAAACCCCCCCCTAAATAAGAACTCTCACAATGTTAAAAAATATATATAAACAGTGGTACTTATTCCTAAGGACCAGAACGAAGAAACTTCACGGCTGCTGGTTGTCCCGACAAACTGTCTTTATCTTCAAGGCAGACAGCGTCCACCTCGTGCACTCAGGTGGGCTGTCCGAAAATAAAACCGTGAGGAAACAGCTGCACATAGATGAAATGATGTTTTCTTCAAAGTCCGTCTACAGGGGATATATAGCAAAAAACCCCTTGCACCTCATCAACGCGTTTCGTCCTGCTGCTGAGGACTTTTTCAAGATAGGTGCTGAATCCATTGCTGGCGGTTTTATACCTTAGCGGGCAAAACGGATTCAAATTCTTTAAAGACATATACTCACAATTTCAGCAAATGTATTATGTTAACCCCCTCACCTTCGTTCAACATATAAAATATAAAATATAAAATAACAGGACTATATCCAAGTGTACAAAATGCAATTTCTTGATGACACATAAATTAAAACAGACTATGTTAAAAGAATAGCATGAAAATATAAAAATATTAAAATTATTAAAATATTAAGACAGCATCTACTTGGCACAAGTCTTATAAGGTACATTATTCAGTAACCCAAAAATGACTGTACTAAGCCTTTATGCTGCTTATTCCAATGTAACAACTTGTAGCCTAGAGGTTATCAAATATATTGTATCAAACAATGTCCAAATAGTGATGTCGCGAACCCGAAATTTTCGGTTCGCGAATGGCGAACGCGAACTTCCGCAAATGTTCGCGAACCGGCGAACCGCCCGAAACGCCATTGACTTCAATGGGGAGGCGAATTTTAAAACACACAGGGACTCTTTCTGGCCACAATAGGGATGGAAAAGTTGTTTCAAGGGGACTAACACCTGGACTGTGGCATGCCGGAGGGGGATCCATGGCAAAACTCCCATGGAAAATTACACAGTTGATACAGAGTCTGGTTTTAATCCATAAAGGGCAGAAATCACCTAACATTCCTAAATCACAATCAATATGGATTGACACCTGACATATGACATATTGACACCTTGACATATGGATGGACACCTGTCCTCAGAGCCCCTGATGCACACGGACACAGAGCAGAATAGAGACTGGTCCCCCTACATAGGGTCACTTGGCAGATATGGATTGACACCTGTCCTAAGGATCCCTGATACACACTGACACAGAGCAGAATAGGGACTGTTCCCCCTACATCGGGTCACTTGGCAGATATGGATTGACACCTGTCCTAAGGTTCCCTGATACACACTGACACAGAGCAGAATAGGGACTGGTCCCCCTACATCGGGTCACTTGGCAGATATGGATTGACACCTTGTTACAAACTGCTATTTGTAACGGGCCCTTTAAATGGCAAATTGCCCTGCTTCCCTGGGTTGTGGAGAAGCCTACTTGCCAGCCTCCTCCCGCATGACTATGGCCCCTGGGAGATTGTGAAAATGTATGCACTTTTATTTGGTGTGTATGGCCCTTTAAGACTGTCGGTGGGCATATTGGGGCTTATGGACTCTTTATGTGACTGGTGCTGGCCCTTTAAACACCTTTTTGGGACATCAGGAAGATTGGGACACTGCCCCTTTAAGGCCGTGTCCCCAGACTTGTTGGGGACACGGCCCCTTTAAGACGGTGTCCCCTGTGTCCCCAGACCTGGTGCAAACCCTTTGTGCCTGCCTTGCTATTTCCCACTTGGTTCAGTAAATGGGAAATTATTTCAGCTGCAGAGACTAAGTCCCATTCGGCGATGGGACTTAGTCTTTTTTTCAGCCGTTTTTTTCAGCCTTATTTCAGCTGCAGAGACTAAGTCCCATTCGGCGATGGGACTTAGTCTTTTTTTCAGCCGTTTTTTTCAGCCTTATTTCAGCTGCAGAGACTAAGTCCCATTCGCGATGGGACTTAGTCGTTTTTTCAGCCTGAAATAGACCGACCTCACAGCCCAAATCTATGGAACTGTTTTGGGCAGGAAAATGTGCTTGCAGTCGGTCATAAAGGGACCTCCAGCTAACTTTTTAACCCCTGGATGGATTTGGCTGATTTTTGGTTATGTTTATGTTTTAAGTGTGCTGATTCCAAATATGTAATTATGAAGATGGGATGTGTAGTTTTAAAGTTACAGGGTATGGCTAAAAACTGTATTTTTACTGCCTGTGTTTAATTATGTTAATCTCTTCCCAAACGTCATTTCGTTCAAAGTGGAGAGAATGTTAAAAAAATATATTTTTGTTCTGAGTGTGAGAAATGCTTTTCAGCCGCTTCTAATCTTAAGCATCATTTGAGGAGCCATACAGGAGAGAAACCTTATTTGTGGTGTGTTTAGTATTGTTCTGATCAGTTTAATACCTTCCGCGTCTCCTATCAGTGGACGTGTATATGGCAGCCATTTTAGGAACCGTACACCTGGGACCCGAGCAAGGTCACCTCGTTCAACAGGCGAGAACAATAGCCCCTGGAAAACTATGCTGGACATTCTGTACAATTTGTATGGATATGGCAGTGATTTCTGTAACAGGGAGATGGAAGAAGATGCTTGGTCGGTCCTCTTAATTCAAATTTGGGGCACTGCGCGGTCAAGCTAATGTGCCACCAGATAGGAGTGGTGTGTTTAGTATTTTTCTGATCAGTTTAATACCTTCCGCGTCTCCTATCAGTGGACGTGTATATGGCAGCCATTTTAGGAACCGTACACCTGGGACCCGAGCAAGGTCACCTCGTTCAACAGGCTTGCAGCATATCCTCCAGGAAGAAGAGCCTGAACCCTTACCGGCTGCACGTGTCTTACCTGTACATGGAAAGCTGCTGTGGTTCCTTGATGAGCCAGCTGCCCGTGAGTTAACATGTCCCGTGGAGAAGCACTCTGTCCTGTAAAGCCTCACCAAAAAAAAGGAGTGGTGTGTTTAGTATTGTTCTGATCAGTTTAATACTTTCCGCGTCTCCTATCAGTGGACGTGTACACGGCATTGATTTT